CATTTGAATTTGAACTAACCCGTTCGGTTGACTTGCTGTTTCTCTGATATTTTCAACAAAGCTGCTCCCTTCAAAACTTGTAAAATTTGAATTGTAAACATATTTAGCAATTGTTGTCTTCCCTATTCCAGACATCCCATGCACAACAACTATACCGACATCAGTTGATCCATCTTGTAACCATAAATTGATGTGTTTGACTCGAGATTGGATTCCAATCAAGTTGGATTCAACAGCCAAGGGTGTGCGAAGTAGCTTGTCACCAATCACCTTAACAATTTTTGTGATAAACTTTGACTCGTACCTACGAATTTGCAAAAAAATGAAATATAAATCAAACATGTTGTCTACCTAAGAAAGTTACAAAGGTAACAACCGGAAGGAGGATAAACTTACACATTATTTTGACAGCACAACTTAATTAGCTAAAAATAAAAATGAAACTTTGTTGACAACATGAAACAAGGGAAAACGAAATTATGAAAGTTATTATATGCACTTTTGGTAAAAGAATTATTGTATACACAGAGGATTCGAACTAAGAGGGGATTCGAACTCGACACGTGTAGAACACATGGGTTTAGAGAGATAAGAACAAATTGTTCAGAAAAAGGAAGGCAAAGCAAATTTTTGGTTAAAAATAAATTAACCTTCCAATATTGACGCTAGAAAGATAAAAAGGGCAAATGAAAGTTACCCATCAGCTTGATTTGATAAGACCATCCCTGCTAGATCAGCAAGCTCTGCAAGTGCCTCCCTCCATCCCCGCACCTTATTCGGCGACTGATTTTTCTCGTGTCTTGCAAATGCTTTTCCGATGCTTCCCGTCTGCTTCCTCGCATGGGATGGATCGACATCGTAGAAGACTGGTAATACTACATGGTCCGAGGTAGTCCTCTTGCGTTCAAGGATCATGACAAGCTCATCAAGGCACCATCTGGATGACGCGTAATCTTTCGAAAACACGACAACAGACGCTCGTGATTGCCGGATTGCTTTCTGTAGTCCTGGCTTGATATCTTCTCCTCTCTCAAGTTCGTCGTCATCTCGGAAGGTGAGAAATCCTGCGTTGTTCAAGGCTGTATAGAGGTGGTCAGTAAAAGTCCTGCGAGTGTCTTCGCCTCTGAAACTCAAGAAAACATCGTAACGATAACCCCAATGAGTGTTGGAATCAGAAGATGTTCCTTGAGCTGCTCTCACAAGCGCCATAGTTTACGATCGATGAACAAACAAAAAACAAAATAATGCTATGGTTTCTGTGGGTTGAGAGGTAGAAGAAGAGGGTGAGATTGACAGATCTGAGAGCGGGATGGAGATGGATCCATTTTTTTTTTTTTTATAATCTTTTTCAGAGTTAACAGTGTTAAACTAGAGTTAGTAGCTGACTGGTGTCAAACTCTAAGAATGGCCACAGGGAGGTCACAGAGGCTTTTCGGTGCAGAAAATTCCAACTCCTAATTAGTTGGGTCATTCCTATCTACTTCCTGGAAAAATTGCAAATGAAAACGCGTCTGATCTTTTTGTAATTGACTCGTTTTCGTCAAAGCAAAATTCGTTGGGTCGTGTTAGTCAAAGCGATTATTATTAATTGTGGGGTTTTAGTCAAGCAACGCGTCTTAAAGCAATTCTAATAGAAATATCAAAAAATAAATGTCAAATGTTAATTTGATGATTGATGTGGTAATGTTATATATTTCCTTTTATTTTTTTTAATCGATATGATTTTTTTGTTATAAATGATATTTTTATAACTCATTTTAAAAAGAAACCCATTAAAATAAATTTTCAAGATGGTGCATTAATAGATTTACACAGTAAAATAATTAAAAATTATTTAACATCACTTTTTCTCGTACCTCACCTCGGGTAACGGTGTTACAGTGAATCCTGATTTCTTGTGTTTACAGAGAAAAGATAACTTTAACAGTAAAAAAACACAAATCATTCACAGTAATTCATTGCCTTTCTAGTTCAAACAAAACAGTAAGTAAAGTAACATTCAGTTCAGATATCATTTCAAAACAAAACAAAAAAAGGATCAAACGAAGCAAAGAAAAACGTGTGAAATAATTAAATAAATAAACAAAAATCTCACCTGGTTTCATCGAGCCTCAATTTTGGGACTGGGAATTGAAGTGCCATTGTCGCTTCAATTTCCTGAAAGTGTTGGAAATTAGGGTTTGCCAATTTGGGGCCAAGTAACTGTAAAAGTATAAGAGGGTAGAGCTCCAATTGTTTGTGTTAAAAGAGTAGCCGAGTTTAAGTGCATAAAGCATAAGCCCCAAACCAAAAACCCAGAAAAAGAAAGAGGGTTTTGTCATCCTCGTCACTGCACTCTCTGTCTCTGCCTATATCAAAACTACCCTTTTCTTTTTTTCTTTTCGGTTGACATTTTCACTCTCCATTTGGTAATTATAACGTGTAAGAGAACATTTTATAATTACATATATATCAAATTCGTAATTTAGGAAATAATTCAAATTTAAGTATGATTACATGGAACGGTCCACGGTTACGTAATATTTTTGTTTAATAATACATTATTATGTGCAGTTTGTCTATACGTGATAATGTATTATTGAATCAAAATGTCATATACTGGTGAACCTATTCTTATAAGTTACTCTTCAAATTAAGACCCTTCTTGACAAAAAAATAAAATAAATAAATAAAAAAGCAAGTGACCACGCAACTTGTTTATCTTGGCAATTTTAGTACCATTATAAGAGCATTTTCAATGGTACAAGCAATTGAGTGTCGAAATGCATTTTAATGAATCGCGTAGGCAAAAACTACCCCAATGATATATGCAATTGAGTTTGCAAATTTTGCCTACTCCCTTAAAGTAGGCAATGTTGCCTACAATACCAAGACTAGGCAATTCGGTAACACAATTTTTTGGTAGTAAAATATTTTATATAGAGGAAGATGGCAAAACTAAAATATAAAAGCAAATGTTATAAATGAAATAAAATAATAAAATATAAGTATGCCTACTTGATTTGCATAATCCATTGAAGTGATAAACTTTTTTCATTAATCAATTAAGTAGGTAACATGTCACGTTGGCCTTTATAGTACAATTTTATCTACTTTAATTGCCTATATCATTGGAGATTCTCTAAGCCTTTTAAAATTGGCGACAAGAATAAAACGTGACTTTATGTGCATGGACGTTTTTGACGTTTTCAGTTGCCTACGTATGTGTTTGCCCAAAATAACATTTTAGACTCGCAGATTACCATAAAATCTCAATTTATAAGCCTAAAAAATTGTCGAGCGTAATTGTAAGAATATACGTTGGATGATGAGTGCATAGAGAACAGATGAGAGAGTTTCTTCTACAAGTTTGCAACTCCTTCCCTCGCATCTATAGTGCATTATGTTGGCCTCTGGGTATATTGGTATAAATTTAATTTGAATAGTTAAATACGCAGTGAAAAATAAATAACATACATATGTTTTCTTAATTATATATTCAATTGGTTGTAACTGATATAGCAACAAAGGATAAGGATTAAGAAATTAACTTACTTGAATCCCTAGCCACTCACGTGCAACTTTGTTGAATCTTCCTCGTACTTGGCTATCTTCCTCTTCATGATTGGTCATGTGAAGCTCTCCAAGTGTTGAGCCTCTAAGAGTATCCACATTGATTAATCTAGCAACAAATGATGGAGTGATTGATTTAAATGTGCTAGCAATATCCCTCACTTGGATCAATGGTGCTTGGGCAACACCTGATGTGTTTTTGGCTTAGGTTTTTGTCTCTTTTCTTTGAGGGACAAAACCGAATAGTTTTTACATTTGGTTATGAGACACCTATGAAGCCTCATGTCTGACGAATATTTGCATTCTACAACTAGAAGCTTTGTAACTTTTGACATGTGATAAGAATCTATGCGTTTAAGCTTCTTGGGCAGTCAGTGTTCAGTAAATTTGTTCAACAGATAAACACCTCTATATCCACCACGTGTCCAACACGCGTAGCACGAGACCATGCTAACTTTAATGTCGTATACAGTGGCCTTTACGGAGAGGCAATGTCCAATTGACTTTGCAAACGGCTAGAAACTTTATTTAAAAACTAAATGATGAAATACAAGTCTTTCTACCCTAATCTGTTTGGGATATTGCTTCCGTACCTTAAAAATCTTAATGGGCTTCAGTAACAAGCAAACTCTCAAAGTCAGGTCAAACTTTTAAGCCGAGACTAATAAGTATTATAAATGTACAGTGCTAATAACACAGATTTTTTAAGTCTAAACCTTTTAGTAAATATATTTTTAAGTCTAAACCTCTTAATCAATATATGCATATAAACCTATTGGCTGAGAGATTTCCAAGTTACGGAACTGAAAGTCATATTATGAAGAAAATGATCATAAAATGTTGGGTAGGAGGGATTAGAAAATGCTTCGTTTGAGCGCTACAAGTACAAAGGCAGAGGAATTAGCTAACCTCCTTTGGAATTGAATGTGTAATATGCAAATTTCTCCTACATTGCCTTTGTAATACTTAAAAGGTACATTTCCTAATCACCCCTACCCCTTTCTTTATGATCTGTCTTTCAATCTCATTCAATCTCATGACTCGAAAATTCTCCACCCAAACATAATCAAAGGCAATACTTAAAAGGTGCATTTCCTAATCACCCCTACCCTTTTCTTTATGATTTGACTTTCAATCTCATGACTCAAAAATTCCTCACCCAAACATAACCTAACTCGAAACGAATCTAATTTTTAAGGGTTAAAAGTGAAGAAATCTTTATCAAGATTCCCACTTTTTGTTCCCTTTACTATTCTCTACTTCTAAAAAAATAAAGGAAAATTATTTCTTTCACCCAAAACCAAAGGTACGAAAAAGGCAAAACCTTTCTCTTGTTTTATAATTTTTGTTGGTCTATAATCCTCCCAGTCCACCCACCCACATAGAATCACAACAAACTGAGACCAACCCCAACAATCCCCCAACCCTCCCACATTGACCAACACCCTTCCAAGTTCAAACACAATAAGTTACAAAGAAAGAGAGGTAGTTGTTGATGATGGAGAAAAAGAAGACCCATTATCCTCCAAGTTTCCTGGGACACCCACATCCACACCCACCTGATCCACCCCACACCCAGCAGATTCCATCAAGCCACCCAAACTGCCATCATCAGTTGCACCAAATATCAAGTCAAAATTCTCTTCGAACCCCAAGTCCTCGAACGAGTCCGGTAACTCCAACGACTTGTTGTCAAGAGGGATGTCATCGGGAACCGGAACCTGCTGAGTCATCATTCCGGTGTCCAAAAAGTTCCAACTAAACTGGTGCTCCTCTGCATGATCACGATCCATTACTTGCTCCATTGTATTGCTTTCCATGCAATGCAGCAGATGAGGGTAAATCATTCGTTCTTGTTCTTGTTGCTGTTGTTGCGGTTGCAATTGGTGCACTTTGCGTTGTTCTTGTTCTTGTTGTTGCTGCTGCTGTTGTGGTAGCAATTGCTGCACTTTGCATTCGACTTCTTCTTCTTGTTTGTGTGGTCCAGTGTTCGAGCAATTGGAAGGCTGTTGACCCTCTGATTTTTGATGATCCAGAGGGTGGATTTTCTTCTTGACTCTATCAACGTAGTTGCTGATATCAAAATTGGTCACTGCATTTGTTCCTCTGTACTCTATTGCCGCCATATCATATGCAGCTGCTGCCTCCTCTTGTGTATCTTCAAAAAAACAAACAGTTAACGATCAATAAACGACTAATAAAACTATTTGGATTATTCATGTGAACTACATTGTAGACTGCAACTCGAATAGAGACGAGACTCATAAATTTCGTATATTTGTGCAACATACTTATATCTATTAGTGATGTGATCTACAATGTAATACACAAGTAGCGTTATGATTGTTTATCGATAGTAGTTTAAGTAAAAGTACGTATAACTGAAGATTCGTCCGTACAATTGCAACATGCAGCTAATCTATGAGAATTTTTATGCCCATCAATACCTAATTTTTGATGCATTAAAAAGCAAAAAAGAAGGTAGGAATTAGGTGAAGGCAACTAGTACTCTTTCCACATGTTCGTTTGTCAAATTCCGTCTCCCTTTTTATTTATTTTATTAATATGAAAATACGGTCACACATTTCAATCTCCATTCCTAGTTGAATTTTGATAAACCAAGTGTACAATTGCCAACCGTCGGCGAACATAACTATAAAACTATATAAGCATCTATCAACGGTTGTAAATCGTCCACACAAGATGAAAAGGACACTAGGTTTCTACTTATTTCAAGTTTTCTCTCTCTAAGAAATAAAGATGGGAATTGGGAAGCAGACACACAACACAGCCAAGATTTGGACGGTTAGGATCTGGCAGGAAAGCATGGCCAGGATGACTTGGCACATCAAGAGAGAGCCACAAGCCGGGCAATAAGACACGTGAGCACCCGTACCCGTCGCTTTTTAAAAGGCTTTTTTGGGAAAAGAGATATCTCACGATTGGTTCTACCAAATTCATCTAATCAGAAGATTTAGATATTTGAAATTTGATTTACCGATTAAAAATAAAGGTTAATAATAATTTAAATTATTTGATCAAATTTTAAGAATTTGAATCACCTAATTTGATAGATTTTGTGGAAAAAATCCGAAAATGTTCCCTTTTCATTTTTTTGGATCAAAACCAAAAATAAAATATGAAAATAAATAATAATAATAAATAAATAAAAGTCTGAAATCTGATCCTGTCTTTTGAAGAAAAGAAGAATGACAGCCGACTTTTATTTATTTATTTTTCTCTCCCATAAAACGAAGTCACGTGCCCCCACTGCTGGCAATTAAAACTCACACTCTGTTTGCTGCTTTAAACCCAGATCCAGTCAAATGCTTGCGTGTCGCCTGTACTTCCGCATGTACCAGATTTTGCCCGTGCTAAACCCAGTTGTGATTTTCACACACCCTTACCTACCTTTCTCACAGCCCTCCATATTTTTTAATACTTAATTTGTATCCTGCTATTTAATCTTTCATATATACACCTCTCTATTTAATCTTTCACTAATTACTATAAAAAAGTAGGAAATGTATATATAGAAGATTAAATAGTAGAATACCAATTAAGTATTAAAAAATAGAAAGAAGTGTGAGAAAAATAGTAAGGTGTGTGAAAATCACAACCCAACCCAAAACCCCACCAAATACTACTATTTAGGGGCGGATCGCAAAATTGGCTAAAACAACATGCATTTTTGTAATTTTATTTTCCTAAATACAATGATATTTATTTAGTAACGCTATCTAGGTCATCTACTTAAAATTATATTTTGTAAACCACATATGAAGCAACACTAAAATAATAATCCAATGACTAACTGCGGCTTTGCATGGTAAGGCCTAAAAACATGGTCTCCTGAGCATTTTTCTTTACACAAATAAGTGATTGGGCCAAGTCACAAACATAATAATTTGGTTCGAATATGCATTTAGCGAAAATCGAATTTAAAATTTCTTATTTACTAAGTGACATGCATTTCTATACTTTAAATTGAAATCTTCCTTACCATAATATAGATTAAACTAGAATACCGCTCAAGAAAGCGTCTTTATCCCCCTACTAATTTCGAAAATTTAAACACAGATATAGTTGTTGGGATATTGATAGAGAGAAAATGATTTTCATTACTCGTACAAAATATAGTTGGTACATTTTTGGTGGTCCTGTCCTGTCTCACATGTGGAATTTACTTGCGGGGCTTTGCTAGGAGGAGATAATTTAATTAATAATTATTTTATTATTCGTACAGAAAATAAAAATGTCAAGGCATGGAAAGTGAAAGAATTTTGAAGCATTTGGACAGTGCATGATATGCATCTAAAATTGGAGAAAACATAATAAAATTAAAGAGATGGTGGTTAAAATACATACTATAAGTTCCGAGGTATAAATACTTGTTTCCGAAAACTCTTCCGATTCTCGCCTCCCATCTCCCATTGTGATGATGCCTGTGAAAAACATTGATTTCAGCAAGTAAGAGCGTGATCTTGAACAATAGTAGCCACATTTTGTCCAATTTTCGGCATGCAAGTGCGAATTTACTTACCTCGCCACCCCGCGGTACTTTGAAACTCCTCTCGAAAATCCACTGCTCAGCCGGCGCAATGATGCTAGGTATTCTTCCCTGGTAGCCTTTTCCATTTCTTCAATTTCCTTTGTGTATGTTTCTAGCTGCAACATAAATTTACATTCAATCATAAATTAGCGCGGTAAGGTTAGTAGACGTTAACATGTAGTAGTGAGTACAATCTTTAATACTAAACTGTCACACAAACATACAGATGAACCACGTGTGTCATGGTATAGTATGAGAGAAGAGTTACATTATATGGAAACAAAAAAGACGGCGGAACAATAAATGTACCGGGAAATTGAGTATTGTACCAGGCCCCCAATATTTAAGGGCAGCTAGATCGTAGGTACGAGCAGCACCCTCTTCACTATCATAGGCCCCTGTATGCAACACCAAATACATTAATAAATTTCCAAATGCCTATATAACTTTAAATAATATATATATGGGTTCGTCAAAGACAGGCAGATAATAAATATTTGACTGTGCCGAAAATATAGCTCATTACATTAAGTTTAAGTGTCATAATGATTTTTTTTTCTTTTCAAAATTCTAACCAATTATGTTATTACTTTAATTAATAACCACCAGGCAGCTACCATGACCTTTTTTTTTTTTTAATTAAACGATAAATTTGTTAGATTAAATCTTAAATTAAGAAGTTAACGATGAAGGGTCACTTGCCAGCCACCATGACCACATAATAAAGGGTTACTTAAGAGAAGAATCTTTGTTTTTCTTTCTTAAGAATTAAAATTAAAAATGGAAAGATAGAGTAAATAAAAACATAGTCAGAAACATAGCAGAACAAGCAAGGAAGAGTCTGACTTACCTAAATAAACTAATTAAGCAGCGGCAAAAGTGGTGAGGATGAACGTTGCATTGACAGGGATTTACAGGAACAAAAACAGAGTCAGAAACAGGAAAAATACAAAATACAAAATATATATTTATATTTATATTAGATTTATAAAAAATAAAAAAAATAAAACCAAGAAAAATTGATCCAATCCGGATTTAGAAATTAAATCACTACCTTGTCGTCCCTTCTTGTTCTGGATGTTGTTCCATGAACTCTTGTCCCACAGATGAGCTTCAAACCGCCCGGTCCATCTGTGCCTGCAAACCACCAAAATTAAAAATGTAATATAATTTCATACATGCAAATGAATTAAGAACAAAAAATAAATCGAGAAAGTCGGCATGTAATTTCAGTGCAGAAATTGTAAAATTAATTAATATAAAAAGATGGGTGACCTGGTGACCCCTCTGTAAATGGAGCTTCTTCTGCCTCCCGTTCCTGACTTTGGGGTGTTGCCATTCTTGCATTTGTCTGCTGCTGCTACTGCTGCTTCTGCGGTTTTTCTCTTCTTTCGAACGCGTTTCGGTTTCGGTTTCGGTTTCAGTTTCAGTTTCTGAATCTCGGCTTGAACGTTGTGCTTCGGAGTCTCCGGCCCCGAGCACGAAGAAGAAGAAGAAGAAGAAGAAGAAGAGCAAGAGAAACTAGAGTACCTCTTCATCGATCTGGATATTCTGTGGACTTGAAAAAAAATGAATAAATGCATGTGAGGTTTTTATGGTGAGATAGTTGAATGCAGGAGGAGGAGGAGTACTTGGAGAAGCATAAGAAGAAGAAGAAGTGGCATTTGGTAGCCAAAAGTGGTTTACCAAAAAAGGGAGGGGGAGGGGAAGGGAGGAGGCAGTCCACTGTAGAAGCAAAGAAGCAGGACCGATGAAGTTAACCGGGGGTCAAAGTTAGGGGTGGGTTAAATTAACTCAGAGTTGATTAAACACCCTACACTTGGCATCTGCACTCAGCCATGCTACCAATCCGAACTTGCTCTCCAAGCTTTGAAATATCAATCTCTCTCCCTCTCACTATCGCTTGTGTATGTATGTATGTATGTATGTATCCTTAAAACTTTTAAAAACTTGAAGGATCTGCCGTGTGTAAGTCTGTTGCTTTCATTGGGTTTGGGTAGGCCCTCTCTTTAAGAGCTTCTCTAAGTGTCATTTGCCAACTCATTTGAGACTCTTATCTACTTCAAAAATTTGTTATTCTAATTTCTAACTCACTCTTCAATCAACTCTCTGCCTAGGGTGTAGCGATTTTTAGGACCTTGTTTGGTGATGAATAAGTCTGCCCTCATTGGGGTGCAAAAATTACATCAACAACCAGATTGTTGGGCTGATATTGAAGGATGGTGCTTCAAATTGGGATCCTTTTTTGGACATCTTTACCTGGTGATTAATTGAAGGGTGATGTCCACACACCTCTTTTTACCTTATAAACATTCCTCTCAATTTTCGGCCGTCGAATCAAATGAATTGAAGAAGATCAAAGAACAAATACGGTGTACCATTTATCATACCAAATGCAATGGTTGAGTTAAAGCTTAAAATTTAAGGTTTAAAACACCCAACCACTCCCCCCCCCCAACCCCCACCAAAAAAAAAAAAAAAACATTTTCAAGCATTGGGCTAAAATAAGCCATGGGGAGAAAAAGTAGTTTTCCATGCAATTCCACCAAGAATTTAAGCTTAGGATATACAATGGTCCAACCACTATATATAAATGCGCTTCACTTCTCACTAGTCGTAGTGCACTGAAGCACGCAACGCCCCGCATGTGACAAAGCGTTAGCACCTGACAACGTTGTCGGTCATACTTTCTGAGCCCAACGACTTTTTTTTATCTAACAGCTGCATGATTAGACCGTTGGTTAATGTGACGGCTACATTAAATCAAACAACAATGGTTGAATATAAACAAATCTAATAGTAAAAAAAAAAAAAAAAAAAAAAATCTGATGGATCAAAATTAAATCCAACAGCGGAAACAATAAAAAAAATATTTAAATCAAATTTCACTAAAAAAACTGTAGAATCCACACAAAATTGACTTTCATGTGGTGGATTGGGACGGTTTTGTTCATTGGTTACGTGCTCAATCCGCTTGAAGAATGGATGCTATCACGGGAAGCGTTAGAATAACTCTCTTGGTTTCCTTCTTAAATCGAGTAGTTGATGCAATTAAAGAGAAACATGACGGACAAGGCAGGCTTCATCCTAGCCCTAGCACAACACTTTTTATAACAACAATAAAATTTTATCCCACTACGTAGGGCCGGCAAGCCAAACGGTTTATTACAAATAAAAATTCTAAGCCACGGTAGCATGCAACCACACACTTCATTTCATTAAACCATTTTTGGTACAAGTTTACATTCAACACCACAAAGCGACTAAGGACGGAAATTACACCGGTGTGTAAATGTTTTTAACATCAAACCACTCTCTTTTACCTTCACACACGTGCCAGATCTCGACTATCGCCCTTGTCCTTCCCGGGCCTCCAATACAAATTACACCTTTTTACAAAATTTTAACAAAGAAGATAAAAAAAAAAAAAAAAAAACCTAAGTACACCCAACTTCACCTCTGAAGACATTGTTCTATTTCTGCCTATTGTTCGATTTATGGCTCTGCCTCAGACCATAATCTCAAACAAATGAAGCAAAAGGGGAAAAGGGGTTCGAAATACCAGTACCGCAGAGTAAAATACCACCCGTCTGTATTCTGTTTCTAAACAAGACCCTGTCGAACATATAGCTTTGTGCTGCAGCCTGCAATTTATAGTCACCCAAATCACAATAGTTTGATCGTACAATCTGCAATTCCGTGTCATCTTTCTCATTTCCTTTCTCAAAATGTCGGACATACTTCTTAATGTCCTGTTGAAGATCAAGGGTTTCTGCTGTTGGCTTCTGAGCAAACGAGAACTTCCAATCCTGGCCTCTCTTGGCACTGTTAGGACTAATTTGATTCAGAGCTGGCTCCCTGGGACCACCGCTGGCCATCAGTCCTGAAGCACGCCGTTCATTGGAAAACTGACGTTCGATGTTCAACTCCTGAAAAAATGGACATTATGTTTTCAGAAACTAGATTATTTTCAGTAAATTGCTTTTGCAAGCTCATGGTTTTCAATGTCAAACAGGTACGACTATGGTTGAGATACATTATGTCTTTCAAACAAGGGAACAAGATGACTAATCAAGATTATTTCTACAATTCCTCATCAAACAAGGGATAAACAACTTTTTACTAAAACAAGCCATGAATATTGTAGACTCAAATTTCTTCCAAATCTTCTTGCACCAAAACAAGTCATGAATTCTTCCATCTATTTATCTCCATTCTCTCTATGTAAAAGTTAATATTCCTTTCATGGAACTGTGTACAAGTTGGCAACATCAGATTTTCCAGGGTAGAAATAATGCCCTTTGGTTATTTACCTCACAACAGTGCAGTTTCATAATTGGAGAAGAAATTCTGAAGGAAAAGACGCAGTCTCTGCTTCGAACCAAATATGTAAACCACATGGGTACTTATTCAACTACTATGGAACAAGAGAAACTAAAAGTAAAGAAATCCTTTAATAACGAAAAATAAAGGTTATTGGTCCTTATACTGGGGTCCTTATCCACTCTGATGTACGTTTCAATTTCTTCAATCATATCCCTGTGGTATACGGATTGCAAGTGTGGTCACATTAGATTTTTATCAAAAGTACTTCAAGGGTATTTGGTTATGCACTTGTATGGGTATTTGCTTTGGGGCAGCACAAGATCAGAGAGATACCACCCTGGACATCCATGCCATTGGGCGCTCCATGAACTAAACCTAAACCCTTTGCACTATGAAAACCAAAGTATAAAATGACCCAAACTATAGAGCACAAATGCAATTTGGCCAAACATATATAACTAAATGACTCTAGAAGTGCACAATTAACTTGAACCACTATGATTTTGTAATTGAATGAGGACAAAGAACCACAAAATAGTTTTAAAAAACCGTTGAAATGACCAGTTTTTGCTTCTTTTTTTCCTTGGAACAGACAGTTTTTGGAGTTACATTATAATTTAGTAAGAATGAGGACAAAGAACAATGTAGGAAGAAACTTTATGACAATATAATATTTCACTTTGATGAGTTCTGTTTCTCCCAATATGCCAGTAATTAGAATCAAACTTGCCACTTATTCTCAGCCACCATAATTTTTTGAAGAAGAAAACAACTTTTATTGCAAGAAACAATGAAAATACAAGAGGGGCAAGAAGTGCACAGAAGCACAAACAAAAAAGGATAAGTAGCAACATCACTAGAAACTATGAAAACATCACAAACTAACAAATAGCAGCATTCCAATTGCACAAAATTTCTGAAAAAGAAAAATCTCTAAATTCTGTAGTAACCGATGCCCGCAGAGATGACCATAACCGAACTATCCCACAGATCCTCCCTTCTATTGACTGCGTAATTCTAAAAAATCAGCCTGTTTCTTTCCATCCAAATGGCCCAAAAGATAGCCGAAACTAAACAACCCCATAAGACCTTGGCTTTCTTCCCCTTTCCTGGTAATTTATGTTTCTCTACCATAATAACAATCCCTAGGTAAAACCCAACTCATACAAACACCCTAAACTATCAACCATAGATTTAAAGCCACTGGACAGTGAAGAAACAAATGATCAACAGACTGAACTTTTGTTGCATAAAATGCACCAATCAGGTTGTAGGCATGAATGGAGCAGGTCACAAGTGTTAACTTTCCCATGAGCCACTTACAAAGTAAAAACCTTCACTTTAGTAGGAACTTTAGATTTCCAAACCAGGGCCATAAGCCTAGAAAACCCTATCTGCAGCCCTACATATTTCCTACATAATTCATGCATTAAGACCATATACGTTTATCACTATATGACATCTAGCAACAAAAACATATTTGACATTTACTTTTCAATAGTCTTATAATTCAAATCTAAAATATTTATAAATTATTACATTTACAAACAAACAATTTACTTTTCAAAATTTAACCACTTAGTGGGATAAGGCTTTGTTGTTGTTGTATTAAATTTACAAACAAACAATTTGACTGGTGTTTGTTTCAGTAGTTGGACCATAAAAATGTAAATGAGCAGCTGTCTGAATCGATATCCAGTATGGTTTTAGAATTATGCAAAAAGTTGTACCCATATAATGACACACATGCAAGTGAGTAACCAATATTAAGTAGTCAAATTTTTCGTTGATAACTGTGCTATTTTGGGGAAAAAAGGCATGCAAAAAGAAATCTGGAAATGGAATAATAAGCACCAAGGTATGAGATGGACCTTTAAATCATTGAGGCAAAAGTTCGAGCTATTGGTGACTGAAGCAACTGAATTTGCTTGGAGTAAAGATGAGCCTTTTCTGACTGGGGTAGTAAAGCCAGTTAAGTTGAATGGTGGGTCCTCTGGGGATGAGAAGTCGGAACTGTCAAAAGTTGATAGGGATACACACTCATCAAAATAAGCCATGGCTTCATCCGTTAGACGTTTGGACATCTTTCTTCTTTCAATGCTAGCCTGTACTCGCAATTTAATAAAATAAAGGAAAGTTAAAAAAAAACAACAGTGTTAAGCTCTTTACTTAGATGCTAGTTGTAAGAACTTCAACTATTTATGGATGCAAGGAATTGCTCTCCAATAATTAATTTATATGAATGCAAATTTATCCATAACCAAAATATAACAGAGACGCAGAACAAGGGGTAAAAAACATTCCACAATTTATCCATGAACAAATCTAACAGAGACGAAGGTCAAGAGGTGAAAAACATTTCACTTACATAAAGCATTTGTGTACAAACGGATGACATTTTGCAAAAGAATCACACTTTGAAGTGAAATTGTAAATGTGAACCTTTGTGATTGGCATTTTCCTAGACCTTGCAAAACACTTAAAGCTTGCTTAAGGCTTTAGGATTTCAGGATAACACTAAATTTCTAGGATGATAAAGATTGAAGCCTCTATGTTGACTCATTTCACAACTTAACTCATGAGTGCTTGGGATATTAAGAACTCATATATGAACGTTGGCTCAATAAGGTTGTATGTATTGCATCATTTTCTTAATATTCTTTTCTTACCTTCCATGTTACCCAGTAAATCATAAACCTGCAGCGGACACGTGTTTCTTCATACTTAACTGAAGGTTTTCTTCTCTCTAGATTTAAGATTATCGATATTCATTTTAATGAGAAAACCAGATACCTTGTTTTGCTGAGCTTGCTCTTAATTTTTCTCCCTGAATTTCAAATAAGCTCTCTTATAATAAGCATCAATTAGTTGACCTCATTCAAAATCCTGTATCATTGCTTAGTTTACAGCTTTGGACTAAGAAACTGCTAGAGTTTATATTAAGACATGTGACCTCAAGAGGCTGCATAGATCTAGATCTGAAGCATACGAGTCCTCTGATGAATTGGTGCTGCACAGTGGTAATGCTAATTGGCCTATTACCTAGGTTAGATAGGATTGAGCTTAATTACCCCTGATTGACCATGTAATTGACCGAGTTCATGGTGGATTTCTAACTGGCAAAGTTCTCGCAGTTTTTTCCTTTCTGGGATTTCCACGTCAAACAATTCTTGTGTTGAGTTGTGTGGTTTATCTTTCTTATTGAGATTTAAGCTTCATGAAGATCGTGGAATATAAATTCAGAAATACACTTATTATATCTCAGATTTTGTGAACTCTGTTATTTTTCATTGAGAATTATTGCTTGAACATTCAAATACATTTTGGTTTTAGAAAATGTTGACATAAACTCTAGAAGCACCATGCGCAATTTTAGTAAGAGGTACAAATGCAATGAAGATCATACACAAGAAAAGCAAACATGCTTACCATGGTCCCAAGAAAATAAATGAAATTATACGCATAGAACTTCACGTAAAAATTTAGAGGGAAGACGGGAAGAAAAAAAAAATATCTTACTTTTCTTCCTGGGCGAGACTTTGGCACACTAGGGGTCTTGGGATCTGGAAGAACTTCCTTCAGAATTCTGCTGAGCTCTTGTGCACGGTGCTCCTCAACAGCCAGATCTGATTGAAGTTTTCTAGCGCGTTCCTGTGACTGCAAGCTTAAGGCATGGGTCCTTTATGAGTTTTAATCCCCAGAAACAAATAGGAGAAGAGGTAACAACAGAAGAAAAAAGAGTATGGAATCTTAGCATGCCTAGTACAATATTGTTTCCTTAATGTCACATCTGATGTAGCATGTCTAGTAGAAAAACCTCTCTTGTAAAACATGTCAACATAAAAAGTTTCAGATCATGCTGATAAACAGAAGTCACTGCAATTCACTGAAAAGACCATCACCCAAAGACCTGTCCAAACGGGGAAACTAAATATGTTGAAACCCTTAACATAGGTTCATGAAGCAACCACTTCAAAGATTTCAACCTACGCACTTGCAATATGGAGATACTATAAGACTGTAAAAGTAATTTAAACACTTCTGTTAAAGCACATCAATAAACATCATCATAAAATAAATAGATTACATAAGTACTTCCACACAGTACGCCAGCCAACAATGAATGGACATTCTGCATTAACCACACCCACAAGAAGATGCCAATGGTAACACAATGAGACATACTCTACTGTATGGCTAAAGTAAACTCTAAACCTTGAAGAAATTGTTTGCACTTACTCCTATTAGTTAAATCAAGGCATGAAGATGTCTGCTCAAATGCTACCATATAGTAAGTTCTACAACGATGGCATTTTCAATTAAGCCACAATAGATTGCTCAGTGTGACAAAATTCTAGTCAGTTTATGGAAATGGAAAATTACCTGCTCCAGCTTTTTGGCATATTCTCTTCTGATGTCCAAAACTAATTCAACTGCACTTGGATTTACCAGGTCAGGAGGGATATCAGAAATGTCAGTATTTGCAAGTGCTGGAGTATTACTCCTTTGCATAGCCTGAGATTATAGGAAGGAAAGAGAAAATATCAAATAACTGTGACAGCATTTTGCAAGCAAATAAACAAGAATTATAAACACATGCCGGCATCTCAGCATTACCTATTTGCCATCATTAGAGCACAAAAACTAATTTAATAAGTATTACAGAAACTAGGGAACCTATGTACATATGGTATGGATACGTTCTTCTTGGTATACTCAACCAAAAAAACTTTAAATTATGTATACTCGACCAAAAAAAAAAAAAAACTTTAAATTACAAGTCAACTGAAGAAAGTGGCTGTCACATAGTTGTCACTTGTAGTGTTGATAATGCCACAATCCATATTCCACAAATGCCAAAACCCAAAAGATGAATTCTCAATCAACCAATCTAAAATCTGGAGGTTATCTGTCCATTCAAGATGTAATAGAGTCATTAAGATCTCTTGATTAAGCACCTTAACACCTCCAAAACATTCACCAAATTGTAAACGTACACATCAAACTAATTTAATCCAAAATTGTGATGGCTTGAGATCTCTATTGACGTATCCAAGTCCACAGAATTGAATTCACATAGAACAATATCAAATTGCAGTTTCACATTTGAAGAGGTGCCAATATCATAGTGTTTACAGATATAGGTTATTTAAATATGCACTGCTTATGACTGTCTATATAATTTAGTACATCCAATTGTAAGTTTAAGATGCTGGGCATATTTTTCCATTGAAAATGCATAATCAACTATAACATTTTCCTTGTCAAATAAGGGAAATTAATTGTTACTTTGAGAAATAAAATTGAATCTTTGGCAAATTGAGACAAACTAATTCTTAAGGTATTCATGTGAAATTTTAATTCATCCTACTCAATTTGAAAAGGCCCCCTCACTTTAGCTAGCAAGAATTCCTATTAGAATGGTTTAAGAAATTAAGAGTAGATACCAAAACAAAAAGGTAAAGCTATTCAACCAAAACGATCATGTTTAACTTGCATACAAGGTAATAATACATTAGACACCTATAAGAATCCTTAAATAAAATCCACAAGAACTTACACTTGCAAGGTCGTTTTGAATCTCAGATATAGCTCTTCGCACTTCAGAACGAACTGTTTCATATATACTACTGGTTGTGGTATCCCCTTCCAAATGATTCTCTTGAACTGACTGAAATTAGAAGGCAACTTATCTTATTATCATAACCAACTACCTATCTTCAAAGGCAGCATTCCAACTTATATCTTAACTAGGTTGCAGACAAGCATTTCACAAAAGCAAAAGAAATATACAAACCAAATCATTGAAAGGACGCCCGCAGTTCACATTCAACTGTTCACAAACTGCTTTAACAGTCTTCTCTTCAGCTCCAGACAAAGAACTTGCAACCGAAACTCCATCTTCCCAATTTAGAGACTGTGACGAAGACTGAAAGACAATCACAAACAACAAGAGCCAAAATCATCAATCAAGATGCTAATAATAACACTAAAAGTCATATCATACAAATTCAGAAAAGGGGTCAGCTTAGTTTTTACCAAATTTGCATCCAATTCCTGCGAATGCTGACTGGACCACGTCCGCAGGCCTTTCACCTGATCCAACAGAGCAGAACTACTTCTAACTAAACCACCCTTTTTCCTATCATTGCCCAATTTACTCAATGAGCCGCATTCTTGTTCATCCTCACTCTATACACACAAAAAAAGAAAAAGAAAAGAAGCAATTCCATCATCTTTTTCGGTTTCCCAAATCCGAATTACTCAAAATTGAATAGAAATCAAGATAATACAAAACCTTGGGATTGACGAAACTCCCTCTGGAATCCGGACCACGCGAAACCGAGCGGTTCCGGCGTCCCGGGTCGACCCTCGACAAGCTCCGACCCACCTCCTTCCGGGTCCCCAAGGTGTCGGCATTCCGCGCAGCGGATCGGCCCCTTCTAGTATCAGCGCCAGTGGAGGTGGCAGGTCTCGAATCTTTCGACGTTACAGAGTCGAATTTGGCGGGTTTGACTAGGTTCTGAGAGTCAACGGCTTGGGGGTCAGTAGACCAGAAAAGAGGGTTGTCTCTTTTGTTCAGGAAACTTTCAGCGGAGGCGTCAAGGCTGGTCCTTGAGAAAGCGCTGACGCTTCTTGACCGTCTGATTGGGGCTTTCTTTGGCGGTGGATTATCTTTGTCGGTGAATTGTCTGCCGGCAGATGACGACGATGACGACGGTGCTGAGAAGGTGGAGGTGGTGGTGGTGGCGGCGGTGCTTCTTTTGGTTGAAGATTTGAAGGCTGAGACTGCCATAATTCTATCTGCTGCTTTTGCTGTCTGTTATTGTCTATATCAAGGGAGGAATGTTATCCGATTTACAGAATCTTGCAAGGAGGAGTCCAATTCAGAAGGATTTGATACCTGAGGAGTCGGTTGGACGTTGGTAACATCGACGGTATATCCAGGATCGTCTTTATTTAAAAAACTAATTAAAATTAAAATTGTTTACATAATTAAATTAAAGTAAATAAATAGACGGTTTGTAAATTTTTATATCATCCGTCCATCTATTTATATGCAATTTGATAGTACTAAACAATCTCTTATGTTATTGATTTTTTTTTTCAAGAAATGATATTTGCTGCGTGATTTATAATATGATTAGTTCTGATAATAAACACAAAATTTTATAAATCAACCACGAAGAGTTAAATAGTAATTCATAATCATCATGACACCTTTTTATGGGTTTTTTGTCAAACTAACCCCTCCACTTGACGAGGATATTTATGGAGTTTTTGTTAAATGACCAAAATAATTTATAATAGACAATATTAGGAACCACTTCTATTGATTTTTAGTTTCAAGGGCTAGAGTAATAAGTTTATGCCAATCTCATGAATAATTTTGGCTAAAAAACCTTAAAATTTTACTATTATATAGAAACCCAATCACCTATTCAATTGGTGAGTTGAGTTTAATTGAAGTATTGTTAACCCGATGGAAACCGACCCACTAAATTGTCAACACTTTTTAAATATACATTATATTAGATTGACATATACATAGAATTAAATAGTTATTAAGCGCATGGTTTATTTATACTTTATTTAATTATAAAATTCAAATATTACGTAACATGTAGTGATTTTACAACAACAAATTCAACTTGATTAAAGCCTAATATGACATAAATTGTCAATTATTTGTTATTCATACTTACATTAGGAATTAGATAGAAAACAATTAATTCCAACCTGCGAAACTCACCCAACTCAATCTGCCCAAGAGTGATTTGGACGATTGGGTTGGTTTCTCCATTTTCTTGAGTGAAAATGAATTTCAACGATGCTAATCCGAGTTTATTGAATTGGCCAACGAGTTGAGGTCTCACTCGACCGGTCCAACTGATGCTCACCGTTATCGATGGTTACAGTAACAAGTAAACATGGAATAGTGGAACGCTACGTATTAACCTAAAACTTTTCCAGCTAGAAAGTCACGTGCGTGCGTGCTTCCCAGTCGAAACCCCATCCATCTTGGCGCGCAACAACCCTCGAAATTCCAAAGCAATTGGCAAAAGCCAGGGTAGTTTCTAATCTAAAAACTCCAAAACCCCAAATGGCGCCTTCTGCCCTATCTCTATGAAACCCTCAGTCTCCCTCCACCCTCCTACCATGTCCCTAGCTTCCGGTCTCCGCTTGTCTTCCTCCATTCTCCGCTACCGCCTCGCCGTCCAGCTCAACCCGACCCGATTCTCCGGTCTCCGCCACAACCTTTCGGAGCTCCGCTTCCTTTCAGCATCATCCTCCCGCACCGGGACCCGCGTCCGCCCAATTAAAGCCAGGCTCCTTGACGAAGCCCAAAAGGAGGACCCCGGCGAGGGGCAAGATGGGAACGGGAGCGTGCTGGTTAAGGACACAAGCGAGAATAGCGAAAGAATTGTCCGCGTTGAGCTCCATAAGGAGGCCACTGAAGCCTACATGGCCTACGCTATGTCTGTCCTGCTCGGCCGCGCCCTGCCCGATGTTCGTGATGGTTTGAAGCCCGTGCACCGCCGGATTTTGTAAGTGATGTTTGATTATACATTGTTTGGTTGCTGAGAGAAGCTGTAGGGAAAAGAAAGGACTAATAACCCTAATAATTTTAGGCATCTAAACTAATTATTAGTCAGAGACTCAGATTGATGCTTCATATTCTACATTTCTCTCGAACCACAGGTATGCAATGCACGAATTGGGGATTGTATCGCGGAAACCGTTCAAGAAATGTGCTAGGGTTGTTGGAGAGGTTAATAATACTATGACACTTTTCTTTTATTTGAAGCCCCGGTATCTTTACATTTACACTTAACATGTATCATCATGCTTTAATACAGGTTCTAGGAAAATTCCATCCCCATGGAGACACTGCCGTGTATGATTCCTTGGTGCGAATGGCTCAGGTAACTATAGCATTTCCTATTAACCAACAAGTGAATACATTTCTAAAGTTAGAGTGGAAATGTTAGTTGTAGATGTACAAAATACCGCAACTTATGTGCTCTTTTTTTTTTTTTTTTTTTTTTTTTTGGGGTAGCCTCCTTGAGCCTTGTAGTGTTTCATTTTTCTCATTTAATACAAATTTTGAGTTTTCTGAACTTTAGGAGTTAGTTTCTGTAGAACCATTCTGAAACGTTTGAATGGGTTCTTTCTTTATTTGGGGTTCTTTGTGTGCCTGTCATGTGTTTTTTAAAGATGTCTTTCTAGATGACATTGTAAGTTTATTGAAAAGTGTTATCACAATAGTTATTGAGAAACCACTTTGCCCAACGTTTGGGGAAAATATGATTTGGAGAATTATAGTGAAGTGGGGATGGAGGTGTTATGGGGAAAGTCAGATTTTGGTCCTCACTTTTGGCTTCTGTGTCATTGAGTTTTGTTCTATGCCATTTTATTATGTAATTGCCTGGAAAGCAGGCTTGCAATTTGTAGTTTTGGGGATCTGATTATGAGAGAAAGTCTACTGTTTCCTTTGATGTTCAGGTTCTGTTGACGTGTTGTTTTGGTGGATTATCTGTCCAGTAGACATTATTTTGTTTTTTCAAATTTTAATAGTTTTCTTCCCTCTTGACCATTTACACTAAATTGGAAGGGTGCAGTGCCTTGTTCAATCTTAGTTTCTTCATATAGATGTAGCTCTATGGGTTATTTTTCTTTCTGCTCTTGGTGGATTTTTTATGAAAAGGTTTTTCCTTACCAACAAACTTGTTCGTCTTTGGTATTTATGGCTGGAAAGAAAAAGAGCTTTTGACGGTAGAATGATCAATCTGGAAAACAGAAACTCAACATCATTGGTAACTCTTTGAATGTACAAGAAAGGCTACACCATCCTTTGCTGCATCTTTTGATTTTCTCTCTTTGTGTATATTAATTTCTGTATCCTAGTACACTTGGGAATATCCCCTTAATGTTATTACAGTAAAATGCCATTACTTAAGGAAAACTCGTTTCCCGTAATTCCAGCTTCTGGATTCTGCTGAATTTGCTCTTTAGTTTTCTTTTCTTTGCTGAATTCTGATGTGATCGAATTTTAATTAGTTAATTCAAGTGTTCTGATTTCTTTAATAATATTTCCAGGATTTCTCCTTACGATTCCCACTAATCCAAGGGCATGGGAATTTTGGTTCTATTGATGCTGACCCTGCAGCTGCTATGCGTTACACGGAATGCAGATTGGAAGTATGTTCATATGTTGTAGTTACATTGAACACCATATTGGTCCTGACATGCTATTCTTTATCATACATGTTTACTCCAGCAATCGGTCAACCTCTCTCCTGCTCTCTCCCTCTCTCTCTCTCTCTCTCCTTCCCCTTCCCCTCTCCCTCTGATATGCATGTCAATTATAATGATTCTTTGATAATTTTTTAGTGTTTTAAAAGTTAAAAGATGTGTTAACTTTATGTCCATTGGATAGTGGCAGAGTGTGAACATGTTGCATTGTGCTGGAGTCCGGATACATATTCAAGCAGTTTGTGAACCATTATTCAAAAGCATTTTTTTTTTTAGTTTTTGCTTTTTCCATGACCACCTCTCTGTGCCACATAGCTGGTTGTCCAAGTAAATGTGTCATCATGAATAGTTTCTGTCATCAGTAATAATTTTTATTAAAAGTTGTTATAAGGCCCTAAAAATTTGTTTTTGATAACTATTAAAGTTATGACATCATATTGTAGTAGGCATGCTGATATTTATGGTGCATTACTTGTTCAATAAGTCCCCTTTTTCATTCATATGCTTTGTTTTTGCAGGCACTGACAGAAGCAATGCTATTGGCAGATTTAGATCAAAATACGGTAAGATCCATTCATTATCTGGTTATACAGCTAATATACTTGCATCATTAATATGTTTATGCACAATGTGATTAATGTGGTGCAGGTTGATTTTACTCCAAATTTTGATAATTCACAAAAAGAGCCATCAGTTTTACCTGCTCGACTTCCAACTTTATTACTGAATGGTGCTTCTGGGATTGCGGTAATTTTTTTAAGATTTCATTGTCCTTCATAATCAAAAGCTGCTGCCTCTGTTTGGTTCTTGTTCTTCTTCAGTAATTGTGTGTGTATATATATTATTCACATATGGGTATATATATTTTCAGGTTGGCATGGCAACTAACATTCCTCCGCATAATCTTGGGGAATTGGTAGATGTTCTTAGCGTATTAATTCACAATCCAGAAGCCACGGTAAGTGGTTAAAGCTTTTTTTTCTCTTTTCTTTTTCATATATGTTTAGGTATATTACAGTTATTCTTTTGAAAAGTAGAAGTTCTGTTTTACTTTAAATTGGTTAATAGTGTATGTTGATAATACCTATAAATATGTGTTGTATCCTTCAAATGACTTTCACAACGTATTGTTGGGGAAAAAAAACTTTCATTGTAAACAATAAAATTTAGTCCGTTAACAAAACCCAACTGAATGTAACAGAGCTCGACCTCCTCTTCTTTTATCTCCAGCCGCATTATTGTTTCTATCTTTTTCTCACACAGTGGCAGCTCTTATTCCACTGACACCGTTGATGGATATACTTTCATCCTATATCTGTGCTAGAACCCTTGTTCTGTCAAACAAACTTTTAGCACATTTTCCATTCAAAACTACATCTAATGATTTGTAGAAATGAAGCAATTACAAATATAACTATGGGCTACAATGGGTTTTGATATCTTTCGGATTGCTCTTGAAGTTGAACCATCCTTTAGGATGATTTGAAACTTTGATATTAAAGCATCTCACTTATTGTGACATACACGTTAACGTTTAAGTATGACTACCATTCCTATCACTTTTCTTCATAGAAGTAAGACGCTTCATTGGGCATATTCTGAACCCTCGATTCAACTAAAAAGAACTTTTATTCTATTTCTCTTTTCTTTTTGTGGTTTCTTTATTTTCCCTTTCA